TGGGTTGCTGACTCGATTCCCAGTAGGGGGCCTGCAGGAGGCAACCAATTGATGTCTCTCTCATTGATGTTTCTGTTTCTCTATCCCTCTCCCTTCCTCTCTAAAATCAATAAACATTTAAAAAAAAATTTTTTCTTTTTACAAATCAAAAATGAAGTATAGTCTCTAAACAAGAAAGGCTTAATTGAACAAGGTATCCTTTTCCCTCTGCTAGGATTGTGTTCACTCACAACTCAAACTTAGAGACCTCAGTTCAGTCAGAAAAGTAGTATTAAATATATTATACAGTATACCAAAAAGTAAATGTATATATTGTAACTGAGGCACTTTATGATAAATGGTGTCTAATTCACTGTAGAAAATACATCTATATTTAATAACTAGGAAAGGCAAACCCTGGTGCAGAGCAAGCTGGCCTTGCTCTCCTTGTAAAGCCAGTCTTATCCTGTTGGAGAGAGAAATGCCACACCCCTTTATCAAAGTGACCATGACTCACCAAGGCGTTTATAAGGGGATTTTGTATCCATGGCTCTAAAAATAAAGATATAGTTCCAAATCATAACAATAACCAATATTCCCTTCTTCTTACCAATATCACTCACTGGGGCTTCTCACAAATTATCTTTAGCTCCACTACATTGTTTTTGCTTTCTAGAAAATGACTATGATTACTGAATAAGTAGAATGCCTCCTAACAGCATTATATACAGAAAAAGGTCTTGCTTTCTTAATAGTAATGAAATCACCTAACACAAGTCAAAATCCTGTTAAAAGTCCTGTTGAACATGCTGGCATTGGACCTCACAGTCCCTGCTGGTTTGTCTTCATTCTTGTTAGAATCCATCACTCCTCTCTTTGACTAGCAGTTTAATCCTGCTAGTCACTGGCAAAAGAGAACTCAGAAAAACAGGGTTTACAGATGTGGCATTAAGAATAAAAAAGAAATCAGGTTTTTTTGGTGGATTTTTAAAAAATATATTTTATTGATTTCTTACAGAGAGGAAGAGAGAGAGGGAGAGTGTTAGAAACATCAATGAAGAGAGAATCATCGACCAGCTGCCTCTTGCACACCCCCTACTGGGGATGTGCCCGCATCCAAGGTACATGCCCTTGACCGGAATCGAACCTGGAACCTTTCAGTCCGCAGGTCGATGCTCTATCCAGAGCCAAACTGGTTTCGGCTTTTTTGTGGATTTTTCTGAAACATGCTTTACGATGTTCTGTGTCCTTAAACACGATTTTTTGTTGTTGTTAATCCTCACCCGAGGATAATTTTTTCCATTGATTCTTAGGGAAAGTGTAAGAGAGGGGGACAGGCAGACAGAAACATCCATGTGAAAGAAACACATTGAGTGGTTGCCTCTTGCACAAGCCCGACCAAGGCCTGGTTCAGGGAGGTGCCTGCAACCAAGGCACGTGCCCTTGATAGGAGCTGAACCTAAGACCCTTTGGTCTGCAGACCGACACTCTATTCACTGAGCCAAACTGGCTAGAGTATAAATCAGGTTTATAAGATTGTATGTATGAAAGATTAAAATACAAAATCCGTTTGAGGCTCTAGCTAGTTTGGCTCAGTGGATAGAGAGTTGGCCTCTGGACTGAAGGGTCCTGAGTTCAATTCCGGTCAAGGGCACATGTCTGGGTCGTGGGCTCAATCACCAATAGGGGGTGTGCATGAGGCAGCTGATCAATGATTCTCTCTCATTGTTAATGTTTCTCTCTCTTCCTCTCCCTTCTCTGAAATATATGTGTGTGTGTGTGTGTATGTGTGTGTGTGTGTAAAATAAAATTTGAGAAAGAAACCTGAACTTGTATGCACATGATAATATTGACTAACAATAATATATAATCATTAAATGTAAAAAATTGCAAAGTGTATCTGAAAATGCATATTATAATGAGACATTTTAATATATTCTTTTCAGGAAATGGAAAACAAAATACCTATTAGCATTTTATATCTTAAAAACAGTTACTACAATATTTCTATGAAACAATTAATTGCATAAGCATTAGTTTGAAAAAAAAGTAAGCACAGTTTTAATCACATATAATCAAGCATACTTTAAAAAAAATTTTTATTAAATTATCTTTGTACATATATCATTGCCCCCCTAATCAAGCATACTTAACAATTTACCAAGGCTTTTGCTGAGTGGCTCGGTTGGAGAGCCATCCCATACACGAAAAGGCTGCAGGTTCAATCACCAGTTGGGATGTATACAAGAGGCAACAGATCAATGTTTCTTTCTTACATCAATGTTTCTCTCTCTCTCCCTTCCTCCCTAAAATCAATAAAAACATATCCTTAAATGAATATTAAAATTATATATGTATATATATGTATATCTTGAGGGGTTGGGCTCAGCTACAAGTAATTGGAAACACCTAGTCTTCCTGAGGAAGAAGGTGCTTATTCTCATACCAAAGGACCGGGTCAACACAGCCCCAAAATGTGCAGCAGAGAAACAAACCCCATGTTCTTTTCAGTAGCAGCATTGTAGATGTCATGGTCAACCAAGGACATATACTAGCACTATTAACAGCATAAGATATTTCCTATATAATTTAGAATTTATGCACATGTAATCTAGAGAATTCTACCTAATAAAAGAGTAATATGCATATTGGCTGCACCTTTGTTGTACCGATGCCACGTCCACAGCCAATCAGAATGAGTATGCAAATCAACCCAACCAGAATGGTGGTTAATTTACATATCAAGACAGGGTAGAAAGAAGCCAAGCTCTGCGGAAGGGAGCGATGGAGAAGCAAGCAAGCAGAGCAGTGGAGAAGGAAAGCAGGCGGGGCAGGGAAGAGCGTAGCAGGAAACCCTATTGCAGGAATCTTCCTGCAAAGGGCTACTACTCAGATATAAACATAAAAGTTTGAATTAGTTTCATGGTGGACACAAAACAGCTTTATAAGAAAATCCAAACTCTAATGGATCTTTGATGTGCCATTTGTGAAGACAGCAGTGGAAACTTATTATCTAAAAAATGGAAATTAGTTGGAAGTGGGTTTTGAGTATTCTTATTAGAAGGGCAAAGAACTTTTGAAATGAGTGGAAGACAGTACATAGATACCCCTTTCTCCCTGTGTGGTAGCTCTACAGTATGACTAATTAATGCCTTCTTTGCTTTGGCTTTCAAAATCTCACACTATAGGGCTACTAGTAATGTCTAATGGAACCACAAAGGGCATAGATTCTAAAAATCTAGTTCCTAACACTACCCACAAGGGTGTTATTTCCAACTCTATTTTTTTCCCTATGTAATGTAGGTCTCTCTTTTGAAATAAAAATCTATTCATCAATTGCAAGTCAAATAAAAAAAAACAGCAAAGGCTGAAATATGAAAATAATTCCCATGAAACTAAAATCTTGCATAAACTTGACATACTTAAAAATGTATCCTACCTGTTTAATTAGAAAGAAAAATGAAAAAGGTATCTAATACCCATCGCCCCATATAAGGAGTTTTATCAGTATGAAAGTGAATATATATCGTGGAATAGTAATATCCAGGAACTATCATAAAACCAGTAGGAAAATCCCAACAAATACCAAACTATCTTTTTTCCCCCAATGGCCCCTTAACATGAAACAAAACATTATTAAAAGTTAAAACTAGCCAAAACAGGTTTGGGTCAGTGGATAGAGCGTCGGTCTGCGGACTGAAAGGTCCCGGGTTCAATTCCGGTCAAGGGCATGTACATTGGTTGCGGGCACATCCCCGGTAGGGGGTGTGTAGGAGGCAGCTGATTGATGTTTCTCTCTCATCAACGTTTCTAGCTCTCTGTCCCTCTTCCTTCCTGTCTGTGGAAAACCAATAAAATATATTTAAAAAAAAAAAAGTTAAAACTTAATTGCATATTAGAAGTAAACTTGAATTCGCCCATGTATCTTTTAAGCTTTAAAATGTAGAGATGATGTTATTAACTGACTAGAGGCCCATGCATAAAAACCCATGCACTGGAGGGGAAGTCCCTCAGCCTGGCTTGCCTCCTCTCACAATCCAGGTGCCCTCAGGGGTGGGAGGTGACCTGGCCATCAGGGGAAGGCGAAGCCCCCATCACCACTCTGCTGCTGCCACTGCCAGTAGCACAAACCTTGGCCTGCCAGGTTACCTGAGCCTTGGGCGGCCCTGGGTGGCTGGGAAGCTGCCATCCAAGGCTTGCCTGCACCTGGGGTGTTAGCTGGGCAGCCACCATCCGAGGCTTCTCTGTGCCTCAGGCTGGCCCTGGGCAGCTGGGGGCTGAGGAGACCGGGAGGCTCTGGAGGCAGGTCCCCCAGTGGGGATGGGCGCCACCATCTTTGAAGGCATGACAGTAAATTAGCATATTCCTCTTTATTAGATAGGATGGTAATACAGAAAAAGGTTTTCCTTGATTAGGTATGAAATCATCTAACACAAGTCAAAAACCTGTTAAAAGTCCTTATGAACACCTTGATATTATACCTCACAGTCCTTAATGGTTTGTGCCCCTTATTAGAATTCATTATTCACTACCTATTGTTATATAATTATTTAAAGACAAATTGTAAAATTATTTCACCTTAATATTTATTTCTAAAAGTAACTGATGCTTAAACATGAGTTTGAAGTGTACAAGTCCATTTTTCTGTAGAATTTAAAATGTGGAGCTGTGCAGTTTCAAATTTGGGTTGTTCAAGGATCAACTGTATTTTCAATCTTCGGTTTGGTATTCATTTATGAAGAGGGCTAGCTTAGGTTACACAAAAATTTTCAACTGCCTGGAAAACAGGTTCCCTTAACTCCCGAGTTTTCCAAGGATCAACTGTAGCATAAATCCCATGTCCAAATGTGTACTTAAAAAACTGGTAAACATAATTTTTTAATAACAGCTCTCTAATCTTGAAAGTTTTCTAGAGCATTATAACAAATTAATTTATGTCAATCTTCTTATTTGCTTTTTTATTTCTTTTCAGTGGGAGTTTTCACAGATAAGGATGTAGGCCAACTGAAGTCTTTCCCACACTATTTACATTCAAGAGGTTTTATACAGTGAGTCCTTTCATGCCTTTGAAAGGAATAGGGATGACTAAAGGCTTTCCCACATTCTTCACATTTATATGGCTTTTCTGTAGTGTGCACTCTCATTATGTGTATTCGAAAGATTTTGTTACAAAGAAAGGTTTTCCCACATTCCTTACATTGATAGGGTTTCTCTCCAGTGTGAGTCCTTTCATGTCTTTGTAAGGAACTGTAATCTCTGTAGGTTTTTCCACATTGTTTACATTCATAGGGTTTCTCTCCAGTGTGAGTTCTTTCATGTCTTTGATATAAACTAAGGCAAGTGAATGCTCTCCCACATTCCTTACATTGATACGGTGTTTTACCAGTGTGCATTTTCAAGTGTCTTTGAATGGTGGTGCGACAAACAAAGGCTTTCCCACAATGTTTACATTCATAGGGTTTCTCTCCTGTGTGAGTCCTTTCATGTGTTTGTAAGGAACGATAATACCTGAAGGCTTTCTCACACTCCTTACATTTATAGGGTTTTTCTGCAGTGTGAGTTCTTTCATGTATTCGAAGATTACCAGGAGTACTGAACACTTTACTACACTTTTCACATTCATAGAGTTTTTCTCCAGTGTGAGATTTTTTGTGTATTTTTAAGAAACTGTTGCATCTGAATGTATTTCCACATTCCTTACATGCATAGGGTTTCTCTCCTGTGTGTATCCTTTCATGTATTTTCAAGGAACTGTAATATCTCAAGGCCTTTCCACATTGCTTACATTCATAGGGTTTCTCTCCTGTGTGCGTCCTTTCATGGGTTTGTAAGGAACTGTAAAGTCTAAAGGCCTTCCCACATTCTTTACATCCATAACGTTTCTCTGCACTGTGAATTCTTTCATGTTTGCGAAGACAACTGGGAGCACTGAATGCTTTGCCACATTTTTCACACTCATAGGGTTTCTCTCCAGTGTGAGAGCTTTCATGTATTTTTAAGGACCTAGAATGTTTGAATGCTTTTCCACATTCCTTACATACATAGGGTTTCTCTCCTGTGTGAGTCATCTCATGTGTTTGTAAGGAACCATAAGATCTGAAGATCTTTCCACATTGCTTACATTCATAGGATTTCTCTTCAGTGTGAGTTCTTTCATGTATCTGAAGATGACTGGGATAGCTGAACACTTTATTGCATTTTTTACATTCATAGAGTTTCTCTTCAGGGTGATTCCTTTCATGTTTTTGAAAACTTTTATAATAAAGGAAGGCTTGTCCACAGTGTTTACATTGATAGGGCTTCTCTACAGTGTGGCTTCTCTCACATGTTTGAAGAAAAAGTGAGGAGCTAAAGGTTTTCTCACTCTCCTTACATTTATAAGCAGTATGTTTGATCATGTGTCTTTGAGGACTTTTGAGCCACTTGAAGGCTTTCCAACATTCCTCACATTTATAAGCTTCCTCTCCATTGTGATTTCTTTCATCAAAAAACTGAATATAAGAGAAGGCTCTCCCACATATAGTACATTTATATGGTTTCTCTCCATATTTCTGATACTCGGAGATCTTCTGTCTAGTTTGACATTCGATGTCCCTATTATGGGATGAATGATGCATGAAGACTTCCCCACTGGCATTGTATCTCCATGGTTTTACTCCAGAAAGCGATTTTGTCAGATTGAGATCTGGAATAAGGCTTAAGTTTTCTCCACATTGACTGCCCTCCTTCCTTTTGCAGCCCCTCTGTACCATTTGACTTCTGCAAAACACAAGCAACACATTATTAATTTCTTTAATAATTTTACACTTGTTAATAGAATATTTGGACTACGTTTTTATGATTTACTGCTAAGTATAGGTTTACTATCTTGTCCAAATTGTTGGACATTGAATACACCAAAATCTCTACAAGACAACTTCAACCTTGCTATTATAAAAAAAAATAACCTTCATATTTAGTTTCATGAATGCTCTTTGTATATAAACTGGTTTGTTTGTTTTTGGGGGGAGGGGATTTTGTTTTGTTTTTGCAAACATACACATCTACCTCACATATAAAGTGCTTTAGTAAAAAAATTTCTGAGAATTTGAATCAGAGTTAGTTTAGATTGATTTTTTTTTTTTCATTTGTTTTAAATATATGTATTTTTTATTTCAGTGAGGAAAGTAGAGGGAGAGATAGAAACATCAATGATGAGCCGAAACCGGTTTAGCTCAATGGATAGAGCGTCGGCCTGCAGACTGAAAGGTCCCAGGTTCGATTCCGGTCAAGGGCATGTACCGTGGTTGCGGGCTCATCCCCAGTAGGGGGCGTGCAAGAGGCAGCTGATCGATGATTCTCTCTCATTGATGTTTCTAGCTCTCTATCCCTCTTCCTTCCTCTCTGTAAAAAAATCAATAAAATATATTAAAAAAAGAAAAAAAGAAAAAAAAAGAAACATCAATGATGAGAAAAAATCATTTGTCAGCTGCCTCCTGCATACCCCCCACTAGGAATCGAGCCCACCACCACCAGGGCATGTGCCCTGACTGGGGATAAAACTGTGACCCCCTGGTTCATAGGTTGATGCTCAACCACTAAGTTGGACTGAAAAAAAAAATTTTTTTTTTAAATATATTTTATTGATTTTTTACAGAGAGGAAGGGAGAGAGATAGAGAGATAGAAACGTCAATGAGAGAGAAACATCGACCAGCTGCCTCTTGCACACCCCCCACTGGGTATATGCCGGCAACCAAGGTACATGCCCTTGACCGGAATCGAACCTGGGTCCTTTCAGTCCCCAAGCCAATGCTCTATCCATTGAGCCAAACCGGTTTCGGCTGAAAAAATTCTTCTAAAATTTTTATAGCATATCTCGTTTCTCATTTGAGATACTGCTTTCTATTGTAAATGTTACTCACCTCTGTTTACTCCCCTGGCTTTTGTACTGATCTTCAATTTCGTGATCTTCCCATTTCCCCCCTAAAAATCAGACCAAAAAATAGGATTCCAAAGTATTAGAAATTGTAGAAAAATTATTAGATTCTAGTTCTATAATGAGCTGTGACTATGCCTAGTTTATTTATCAATGTCCTCTATTCCTACATTGCATATTAGCACAATGTTGATGGATAAGCAACACTTATCCTTCAGATGAGGAAGTAAAGGGTAACTTGTCACACTTACCTATGGAGGCCAGGTTCCTGAAGGTTTCCCTCATCACATCTCTGTAGAGTTTCTTCTGTGAAGAATCCAGTAAGGCCCATTCCTCCATACTAAAATTCACAGCCACATCCTCAAATGTCACTGAGTCCTAAAACATCACAAATATGTGTATAGCAAAATTTAAGAGATGGACCCTGGACACCTAGACTTCATTTACAGGAGGTTACATATGATTCTGGCATCTCCAAACATTTATGCTAAGATTTCATCATCAGAAACTTACACTCTGTCAACAATTACTTTCTCATAAATAACATCAAGAACACATGGAAATTATTTACACATTTTTACCATGACCACATTATATTTTATATATTTCTTCTAATGGCAGGATTCAGAGCATGTTGGGAATAGAAAGAAATGATGCAGAAATGAAATGAATATTGTGTTATTATTTTAAGATAATAAATTCCTTGTGAAAAAATTTTTTTTAAATTATTTAAATGATTTCAGAGAGGAAAAGGAGAGGGAGAGAAAGATAGAAACATCAATAATGAGAGAGAATCATGCCAAAACCGGTTTGGCTCAATGGATAGAGTGTCAGCCTGCGGACTGAAAGGTCCTGGGTTCTATTCCGGTCAAGGGCATGTACTTGGTTGCGGGCACATCCTCAGTAGGGGGTGTGCAAGAGGCAGCTGATCAATGATTCTCTCTCATCGATGTTTCTGACTCTATCCCTCTCTCTTCCTCTATAAAGAAAATCAATAAAATATATATATTTAAAAATAATAATGAGAGAATCATTGATTGGCTGCCTCTGCACGTGCCCCTCCTCTCCTCCCCCACCCGCAACTAGGGATCAGCCCATAATCCAGGCATGTGCCCTGACTGGGAATCCAACCATAACCTCCTGGTTCATAGGTCAATGCTCTATCACTGAGTCATACCGGCTGGGTAGAAAAAAAACTTTTAATCTTTTTCCCTTATTACCACTTACAGTACTCCATGAGGCATTGGATTAAATGAGTATAAGATTTCTGGGAATAAATAGGTATTGAATAAACAAATTTGCTTTTTGTTCTATTGCCATCACTAAACATGAGTCCAGAAGGCCTATGACAATGCTAGCTTTAGCAAGGTCTAGGTAGTCATATCATCTTAAATTAGTTCTCCAGATCATTAAAAGTAGTCAGATGTAGCCAAAGCTGGTTTGGCTCAGTGGTAGAGCGTCGGTCTGCGGACTGAAAGGTCCCAGGTTCAATTCCGGTCAAGGGCATGTACATTGGTTGCGGGCACATCCCCATTAGGGGGTGTGCAAGAGGCAGCTGGTTGATGTTTCTCTGTCATCGATGTTTCTAGCTCTCTATCTCTCTCCCTTCCTCTCTGTAAAAAATCAATAAAATATATATTAAAAAAAAAAAAAAGTAGTCAGATGTAGCTAGCTGAAAAACATTCATACAGACCAGCACTGCTTTTTTCTTGTGTAATATTTATTACAGATTCATTTCTTCCTTTCTCTCTCTTAGAAACAATAAGTACATACCCATCAATAATTACTTTAAATGTAAGTGACCTATATTATCCAATCAAAAGACACAGTGGCTGAATGAATAAAAAGAAGAGTCAACATATTTGCTTATAAAAAATTACTTCAGATATAAACATACACACAGACTGAAATTGAAGGGAAAAATATATTTCATGCAAACATCACTGAAAAGAAAGCTGGTGTAGGAATACTTACACCACACAAAATAGACTAAAACAATCTCTAATAAAAGCCAAAGAAAGGCATTACATAATAATAATATTTATGCATCTTACATAGGAATGCTTAAGTACATAAAGCAAAAATTACTCTAAAGGGAGAGATTGGTTGTATGACAATAACAGTAGGGGTCTTTAACAATTTATTTACATCAATGGATACATCATCCAGACCACCAACAAGGAAACACTGGCTTTAAAAGACACATTAGACCAGATGGAATTAATAGATATTTACAGAAACATTCCATCCAAATATAACAGAATACACAATACTTTCAAGTGTGCATGGAATATTTTCCTGGACAGGGAACACATTAGACCACAAAACAAGTCTTAGTAAATTTAAGATTGAAAAATCAAGATATTTTTTGTATTGAAATATCTTTTCTGATGACAACAGTATAAAACTAGAAATTGTTATAAGGGAAAAAAAAACGGGGGTAGAGGGGGGAGGACAAATATGTGGGAGCTGAATAACATGCTCCTAAATAATCAAAATATCGAAAAATATATGAGAAAAATGAAAATAAAAACACAGCATTCTAAAACATAAGGTGGCCCAAAAGTGTATACATATACTTTGAACAATTATAAAGGCAGTGTTTATTAAATTATATTTCATTGCTCTACCCGGTTTGGCTCAGTGGACTGAAAGATCCTGGGTTTGATTCTGATCAAGGGCACATGCCCTGGGTTGCAGGCTGGATCCCCACTAGGGGACACGCATGAAGTAGCAAATCAACAATTCTCTCTCATCATTGATGTTTCTCTCTCCCTCCCTTTCCCTTCCTCTCTGAAATCAATCAATTAAGTAAATGAATGAATGAATAAATAAATAAATAAATAAATAAACAAACAAAATATATTTCCTTTTCAAAGTTGAGCTATCAGCTGTTAAAATATATATATATTTTGGGGAGGACATCCTATATATAGGGCAGAGCAAAAGCAGTTCTAAAAGGGAAGTTTATAGTGATTCAGAACTACCTCAAGAAACAAAAATTTCAAATAAACAACCTAACCTTACACCTAAAAAAATCTATAAAAAAAAAGTTAAAAGGAGGAAGAAAATAATAAAGATCAAAATTAAAACACATGAAATGAAGGGAAAATATTGAAAAGATCAATGAAACTAAGATTACTGAAAAAACAAAATGAACCCTTACTTAACCAGACTCATCAAGAAACAAAATAATAATCCAAATAAATAAAAACATAAATGAAAGAGACATCCGTTACAACTAACAACACAGAAATATGAATAAATCATAAGTGAATACACCAATATGAAATGCATGAATTTCTAGAAACACATATGTTCAGTCTAAAACAGGAAAAAAAATAGAAAATTGGAATAAACGGATAAAACTAGTAACAAAACTGAAATCAGTAATGAAAGAAACCCCAATAAACAAAAATCTAGGACCTAACTCTTTGCTGAATTCTACCCAAAACTTGAAAGAATTATTACTGGATGAAAACCAAGATGGCAGCATAAGTAAACGCCTAACTTCAGCCTCACACAACAATTTCAAAAAAATACAACTAAAATACAAAATGAACATTATCCAGAACTACAGGAAAGTTGACTAACTGGAAATTCTACAACTAGAAGGAAAGAGAAAACCAGAAGGAAAATCAGAGGAGCTGTAAAAGCGTAAGGTATGGAGACATGGGAACCTGGTGGAGGGGAGCAATGGAGGGGGGGGGGGCGGGAATGAGGAACATTTGTAATAATAGGAACAATAAAGATTTATTTTTTAAAAAAAGAATTATTACCTTTACTTATCGAAGTATTCAAAAAAAATTGAAGAGAAAGGAACACTTTAAAACTCATTCTACAAGACCAGCACTACCCTGACACCAAAACTACACAAAAACACTACAAAAAAAAAAAAAAATTTACCAGCCCTGGCTGCTGTAGCTCAGCTGACTGGCCATCACCATCCCAGGCATCAAATGGTTGCTGGCTTCCTGATTACTAGTCAGCGCAAAACCTAGGTTTCAGGTTCAATCCATGGTAGGAGGTATGTAGAAAACAGTCATTTGATGTTATGCTCTCACATCAATGTTTCTCTCTTCTTCCTTCCTCTCTAAAAATCAATAGTATATTCTTAAAACACACACACACACACATATATATGTCCCATCTATGAACATAGGTGTAAAAACCCTCAAAAAATATTAGCACAGCAAATTCAACAATACATTAAAAGGATCATATACCATGATCCAGTAAAATTTATTCCAAGATTGCAAAATGGTCCAATATCCACTAAACAAGAATCATAATACACCACAATAACAAAACAAAAATAAAAACCTTTTAACTATCTCAACAAATGCAAATAATCATTTGACAAAATATAGCATCCATGAAACTTTCAACAAAGTGGAACTAAATAGAACGTATCTCAATATAATAAAAACCACTATGACAAACATAGAGCTTATACACTCACTGGTGAAAGTTAAGAGCTTTTCTCCTAACATCAGGAACAAGACAGAATGCCCACACTCATCATTTTTTTTTTTTAAATACAATATTGTATTAGTTTCTTTTTAAAAAAAAATAAATCTTTATTGTTCATATAACCACAAATGGTCCTCATTTTTTCCCCCTCTATTGCTCCCCTCCACCAGGTTCCCACCCCACCCTCTGCCTTTTCCCCACCCCTCATTGTCCTCATCCATAGGTGCACAGTTTATGTTCAGTCTCTTCCCACACTCCCCACTCCCCTTTTCCCCCGAGAATCGTCAGTCCACTCCCCTTCCATACCTCTGATTCTATTATATTCACCAGTTAATATTGCTCATCAGATTTTTTAATTCCCATGGTTTTTAGATTCACTTGTTGATAGTTACGTATTTGTTGTTCATAATTTTTATCTTTATTTTCTTCCTCTTCCTAAAGAATCCCTTTCAGCAATTCATATAATTCTGGTTTGGCGGTGATGAACTCCTTTAGCTTTTTTTTTATTTGTGAAGCTCTTTATCTGGCCTTCGAATCTGAGTGATAGCCCCTGGGGAAGGACATGGGTGAACCTGAGGAGCCCCAGGAGTGAGCACGGGGAGCCCCACACACTCTCCTCTCTCCTGTAAGCATGGAAATGCTCCCTCCCTGAGGCAACTCTCAGCCTCATTCAGTTTCAAGTTCCGATCCAAATAAATCCCCAAATCCATAAACCTTTTGTCCACGAACAACACCTGATCTGCTTAGACCTTCTCAATGTCTACAAATTATACTCTGAATAAAAACCTCAGCATAAAATCTAGAAATAGCTAGCACTAAGGATCCACAGCCACACCCACAGGAAGGGCATCAGCACCCACCTCCACCCATGGCCCTGCATTGCACCCCCACTTCCAAGGCTCAGTAGCTCTTCTTAGGAATCTACTTCAACAACTCTGCTCTGCAAGGTAAGCCCTGGGATTGTATTTTAAAACTCCCCCAAATAAAACCACCTCAGAAACTTACTACACATGCTCAGGAAGGGTCCAAGAAAAGTTCCAGAAATGGAATGAAATAATGAAAAAAATATATATATATATTTTCGAATTCTCCTCTTTTTGCTTATTTGGAACTCTTTTTAAAATATATATATATATATTTGATTGATTTTACACAGAGAGGAATTGAGAGGGAAGAGAGTTAGAAATGTCGATGAGAGAGAAACATCGACCAGCTGCCTCTTGCACATCCCCCACTGGGGATGTGCCCGCAACCAAGGTACATGCCCTTGACCGGAATCGAACCCGAGACCTTTCAGTCCGCAGGCCGACGCTCTATCCACTGAGCCAAACCGGTTTGGAACTCTTCTATATTGTCTTTCAGGTTCTAGTGATTAATTATATTTTACTCCTATTAAAAACAGACTTAGCCAGGCCCACGTGGCTCAGTGGTTGGGTGTCCACGTATGAACCAGGAGGTCAGGGTTCCTTCCATTTCTGGTCAGGGCACATGCCAAATCCCCAGTGCGGGGCTCGCAAGAGGCAGCCCATCAATGATTCTCTCTCATCATTAATGTTTCCTCTCTCTGTCCCGCCCCCTTCTCTGAAATCAATTAAAAGATATTAAATATATATATATATATATATATAAAAAAAACAAAAACCTGAGACTTAAATAAGTCAGTGTTTTCAAAGTGACCAACCCAGGGAAGGGGCCGCTAATTCGACACAACACCCGGAGTTTCCCAAGAGGAACCTCCCCGAGGGGCTCCCCTGTGTCTGTGCCCCGGGGTCCGGGGGAGAGGAACAAGGACTTCATAGTCATCTAGGTCAGTGTTTCCCAAACTTCTCTCATGATGAGAATCACCTGGTGGAGTTGTTAAACTACAGATTCCTGAATCCCAACTAAGAAGTGCTAAACAATTTTACCTAGTATGTTCCCAAAAATTCTAGTTTAGCACTTCTTAGTTGGGATTCGGGAATCTGTATTTTAACAACTCCACCAGGTGATTCTCGTCATGAGAGAAGTTTGGGAAACACTGTTCTAGGTCAGTGTTTCCCAAAGTGTGGTTCGTGTACCCCCAGGGGTCCGGGAAGAGTTTGGTGGGGGTGCGCGTTGCACCGGAGTTCGGTGGGGATATGCACTGCACCGTGCTTAGCTGCGCCTAATTATAGGTTCTCGTGAGTACGAGGGGTACTCAGCGTTATGAAAATTATAGAAGGGGTACCCATATGTCAAAAGTTTGGGAAACACTGTTGTAGGTGATTACTCTCTGCTGTCCTCTAACGCAAAATGTCCACACAAATAGAAATCTCTAAAGAAGAGCATTCCGTCATTATTCTGTAAATAAATAAATAAATAAATAAGTAAGTAAATAAAGGGAGAGGGTATCAATCGGAGGGAAAGAAGACATATGTAATACTTGAGACAATTAAAAAAATTTTTTTTCAATAAAATATGATTCTCCCACCCCCAACTGGTGGGCAGAGTTATGACATTACTGGCATCTGCCCCAGAGACATCCCCAAGACATCGGTCCACCAATCAGCGCGTGCCCGAGTGCCCTGGGGCCACCCCTCTCCTGTTCCCCCTGGGGCCACCCCTCTCCTGTTCCTCCCCCTCAAAAGATTCCCCTGACCAGCAGCAGCCCGGCTGGGTCCTTTCTCCCCTCCCACTCCTTCAATTCAGATTTCTCTACCTCCCGCTCACGACTGGGCAATAAACTTTAACATATCTTGGTGGTCAAGTTCCTGCGCCTCAAACTTTACAAAATAAAACAAAACGTTGGGTGTGTCTGAAACGCCTCCCGGAGGATAAACAGCCGATCATGGGACGCTGTGATCATGACGCTGTCCTCGGAGGAAAGCTGGTTGTGGGAATTGGAGATTTTCCGCCAGTTTCAGTCCCGGCCAATTTGGGGGACCGGGGTCCAGGATCTGCCTCCCAAACATGTAAGAAAACTCAGAGGAAGACGGTTCCCCCCGAGGAGGATGGAGGGACTGGGGACCCCACAGACCTCAGCCGCTCCCCTGCACACGCCCGGCAGGCCGAGGCACAGTGGTCCCGGCGGCCCCGCCCGTGGGCCCCGCCCGTGGGCCCCGCCCGTGGGCCCCGCCCGTGGGCCCCGCGCCGCCCACAGAGCCCCCGGCCTAACGGAACTCCGGTCCTGGATCCGAAGGGGACGCCGAGCCAGCGGAGCCCCCGCGGAAAGCGGACGCGGCCCGCAGACCCGGACTTGGCCGAGGGGAGGCCGGCCCGACCACAGCCAGCCGGCTCCAGCCAGTTCCATCCAGTTCCAACCAGCCCCTCCTCCCCGGCCCCGCCGGGCCCCCCACTCACCATGTCCAGTTCGCTAGGTCCCCCGGGGCCCCGCACAGACTCCTCCCGCGTGCGGGTCACAGTGCCGCAGAGGCCGCAGCCCAGGCGCCGGGACCGGAAGGAAAGGCGACCAGCTGTCCCCAGCAGGGCGGACGTGGAGAAGTCCACGCCCCTGCGGGGCCTCGCCCCACCCACCCGCCCCAGAAGCACCCATGATTGGACAGTTGCTGCCGAAGCACCGCCCCCTCTGCCTGAGTGACAGCCCTCCGCAGGACCTTGGCCTCCGACTCCAAACAGAACTTACTTCCGGCCTGGCTGGGGCCGACTGCGCCGTGTTGGCCCGGTGCGTTGGGAACACGCTGGCGCAGGTGTGCACAGGGGATTCCTGGTTCCGCTGCCAAAGCGTGCACGTTAGCACGGAACTCGGGCCAGGTCCAGGGCTTGTTGCAAAGGCTGTCAGGCCTCTCCTGGCACGAAGACTCCTTAGAAACACCGCCTTAGGTGCCCTCACCGTCTGTAATCACAAGTCTGGCTCCATTTCGATTTTTAAAATATATATATATCTTATTAATTTTTTACAGAGAGGAAGGGAGAGGAACAGAAAGCCAGAAACGTCGATGAAAGGGAAACATCGACCAGCTGCCTTCTGTACACCCATAACCGGGATGTGCCCGCAACCAAGGCACATGCCCCTGACCAGAATCAAACCTGGGACACACACACACACACACACACACACACACACACACACACACCACCAGCCCGCAGGCTGACGTTCTATCCACTGAGCCAAACCTGCCTCGGCTGCATTTCGATCGTTGATGCTTCCCAGCAGTCCCTTCCTCACCCCCTGCCATTCTGTCCTTAAGAGAAAGAATCTAAGAGCACTTGGCTCTGGTGGCGAGTTGGAAGCCTGATGACCTAGCCAGGGTGCAGGAACTCCTAGTCTAACCACAGAGTGTGAGATGTGTTCATTATATCTTTAGCTGTACATGTTGCATTGGTAGGAAATTGAGTTTACTTTTTGCCTGTGTCTCTAGAGGTCTCTGAAATGTAGACGACTAAATATCCTAAATATCCCGAAGACAACTGATTTTTCCATGTTCACTGACATAAGAAAAACAATAAATGGTTATAAAAACTTGATACGCATCTGGAAACTTTCTCCTCTCTTCCAGCTTTATTGAGGTATGATTAACAAATCAAATTGTCTCTATTTAAAGATCACAACATGAGTATTTATATATAGTCTAATATATATATATATATACTGATATATATATATATATACACACTAGACTGTATATTTGAAATTTGCTAAGTGTAGATTAAGCTTTCTCATCACACACATATACATAAAGTAACTGTGAAACAATGGATATTTTAATTAATCTGGAAGCACTTATATGCCTAAATGATTGGATTGCAAAACTTTTAATGCATTTACTTATTTGTATGAATGGCGATATGATATATAATGCACGTGTTATACAGTGAAACCCACATAAAATGTACAATTCAGGTTTTAGTATAGTCCCAGGTATGTGCAATCATCCCCATAGTTTTTAAACATTTGGCCTCTCCAAAACAAACTCCTCTGCACTTTGCTATACTCCCAACCTCTTTAGAAACCCCTAATCTACCTTCTGTCTCTAAGTATTATTCACTTATTCGGTACTCAAATGAACAGAATTATATACTATATGATCTTGTGATTGACTTCCTTCACTCAGCATAATCTTTCTCAAGGGACAGACATGTTGTAGCATGTACCAACATGTCATTTGTTTTTATGGCCAAATAATATTCCATTGTATAGGTAAAACACTTTATTTGTTCAAAGTAAGACATTTTGTTCTTACTTTTTGATTGCTATTTAATAACACGGTTTATTGCAAGGACAGTGGTGGGTAAGAAAAACATGCAGTTTCAGCTCACTCCAGCTTGCCCTCCGAGCGTAGGCGCCGCCACCGAGGCCGCTGCCGGGAAAGGTGTCGGCGGGTTTGCTGGTGTGTCTCTGCGTCTGTGTCGGTGCCGTTGAACTGCCCGCCATGGCTGACCTAGACCCGTTCGGCGCCCCTGCCGGCACTCCCAGCGACCCCGCTCTGGGGAACGGGGTGGCCGGCGAAGGAGACCCGGCTGCGGCCTTCCTGGCGCAGCAGGAGAGCGAGATTGCGGGCATAGAGAACGACGAGGCCTTCGCCATCCTGGACGGTGGCGCCCCTGGACCCCAGCCGCACGGGGCCCCCAGCCGCCGGGGAATCCGGATGCTGTTGATGGAGTGATGAATGGCGAGTACTACCAGGAGAGTAATGGCCCAACAGACAGTTATGCAGCTATTTCACAAGCGGATCGATTGCAATCAGAGCCTGAAAGTAGTAACCGTAAATGGAGAGAAGAACAAACGGAATGCTTGGAAGCCCTGGATGCCAATTCTCGGAAGCAAGAAGCAGAGTGGAAGGAAAAGGCAACAAAGGAGCTGGAAGAGCGGTGTGCGAGGCAGGATGAGCAGCTACAGAAAACAAAAGCAAACAACAGGGCAGCAGAAGAAGCCTTTGTAAATGACATCGAGTCATCCCCAGGCACTGAGCGGGAACGGGTGGCCCGCTGTATGACTTTAACCCTAAATCCAGCAAGCAGGCCAAGGACGCCCCCCGCATGCGCTCTGTCCTCATCTCCCTCAAGCAGGCCCCCCTAGTGCACTGAAGAGCCACGCTGTGGAACGCTACGTCTGCAATATCTTAATCCTCTCAGTGAAGCTCTTCACCTAATTGGATTAACCATGTTGAGTTCTTGTGGACCAAACCTTTTGTCTTTAGAGTTACTCATTGTTTGTGATTGCATGTTTCTTCCTTCACCTGTGTTCTCCTGGGCAGAGAGCAGGGAGAGGGAAACCTCCCACGGTAGCCTCAACCTGTGCTTTTTGTGCATTATTCTGGGAATAAATTTCTGTTTCAAACAATAAAAAATAAAATAAAATAAAATAAAACATGCAGTTTTAACGGTCTCTTTTTAAAAAATATTTTATTGATTTTTTATAGAGAGGAAGAGAGAGGGATAAAGAGTTGGAAACATCGATGAGAAAGAATCATCGATCAGCTGCCTCTTGCACACCCCCTACTGGGGATGTGCCCGCAACCAGGGTACATGCCCTTGACCGGAATCGAACCTGGGACCTTTTAGTCCGCAGGCCGACGCTCTATCCACTGAGCCAAACTGCTTTCGGCTTAACGGTCTCTTTTTATATAAAAAGCTATAATAGGATGCTCCAGAAATCCAACACTGGTTATTAAGGATGGCTGAAGCAAGAGCACTGGAGGGGGACCAGGTTACCTCCTGTGGTAAGTCTACTTTAAACCTCATCTAACAGATATTTGCTCACCTTTTCATAAATTGTTATTTAAAGCTAGAGGCCTGGTTCACGAATCCATGCACCAGTGGGGTCCCTCAGCCTGGCCTGCGGGATCGGGCTGAAACCAGCTCTCTGACATCCCCAGAGGGATCCTGGATTGCAAGAGGGTACAGGCCAGGCCGAAGGACCCCCACCAGTAGAGATCAGCTGGGAAGGGCTGAGGGAGAGTCCCAGGGCATGTCTGGCCCATCTCCCTCAGTCCTGATTGGCCAAAGCCCAGCAGCAAGCTAACCTATTGCTCAGAGCATCTGCCCCCTGGTAGTCAGTGCACGTCATAGTGAGCAGTTGAGTGGCCTTAGCATATCATTAGCATATTACACTTTGATTGGTTGAATGGCTGACCGGACAATCGGACACTTAGCATATTAGACCTTTATTATATAGGATAAACTGAGTAATCAATAAAGTAGACCAAAACCAAAACTGGAATAGGAAGGGCCTGTAGGGGGAGCTCTCGCACCCTGGGTAGATTGAGAAGCTAAACAGGAAGAATTGTTTGTTTATAAGAACACTCCTAACTTTCTCTTTCCGTTTATAAAAGTTTCCTTTTCATTGTGTTAGCAGCCTTGAATGTGACTCACCAAGATTTCTTATGCTGAATTGCAATTCTATGTTGTTCCTAAATAAACTTATTTTGTTGAGAAAATATCTGGCTTTTTGTTTAAGGTCAATACATTTGGTGTCCAGGACAGGCATTCAAGGAAGATCCCTGATAACTCCAAAGCTGGTGAACAAATAGGTGTGATGCCCACAGAGCTCACTGCACTCACTGCTTTCTCATTAAGCACAACCCCCCCACATCTCACATTCCCCCCACCCCCACCCGCCCCGCCATCCTCCTACTGGGGATCAAAGCCTGCAACCCATGCATGTGCCCTGCCTGACCAGGAATCGAACCAGCAACCAGCGCCCAGGACAACGCCCAACCAACTGAGCCACATCAGCCAGAGCTAGAAAATCCTTTTAACTGCTTCTAACGTAACTCTCACATTGTAATAACCGTAACCCTACTAACTTTCTTCCCCTCCATTAGCCACAAACCCCCCCCCCCCCCCCATTCCTGCTTAACACTGCTGATCACCTGCTGAACCCTCAAAATAATCTGAATCTACAGCAAACTCCTCTGGGTAAGCAGACTCCTTTGGTTCACTGATGGTTCTTATGTAAAAAGGGGCAATGGCAAGATTGTGTTGAATCTATAATATCAACACCCTCTGGTGTTACTGAAGCACTCCTTACTTCCCTTGTCCCAGTTGCCCAAAGTATAACCCAGAGAGACCTTTTCGCACTAATAGACTTTTTATCTTCTTGTTATCACCTGAGGATATTTTTCCATTGATTTTTTTACAGAGAGGAAGGGAAGGGATAGAGAGTTAGAAACATCGATGAGAGAGAAACATCGATCAGCCGCCTCCTGCACACCTCCTACTGAGGATGTGCTCGCAACCAAGGTACATGCCCTTGACTGGAATCGAACCTGGGTCCCTTCAGTCCACAGGCCGATGCTCTAACTGGTTAGGGCTCCATTGATTTTTAAAGAGTGGAAGGAAGGGAGAGAGGGAGGGATAGAGAGAAAAAAACAAACAAACACCACTTTGATGTGATTGATTGG